GGCATAAAGCAAAACCCACAAAAATTTGAGAGCAAACAAGTCATCATCTCATGGGTACGCTGCACTTCCTTGAAAGACAGCAGTGAGTCTTAAAGAAAGCAAACAAGAAAACCCACCCTCGTTTGGTACTTTCCAACAAACTCAGAGCACTTTTCAAACAGTGCTGCACATCCCCAGCTGATCCTGGGGGGCAGAATCTCCGATACTCCTGGCACTGAAGAGAAGGGGAAATAAAGGAGTAGAGCAAAGGCAGGCATGAAGGCAGGAAATGAACGGAGAACAGCCCTGGGGACAAGATTAAATACCGTGAGCACTGAAAAAGGACATTCAGAGAGGAGCAGCTGCGAGCAGCTCCGGCTCCTTGGAGGTCAGGCAAAGGGGGATCTCCAGCTGATGGACCGCAAGATGACGTGCTGATGTGCGCCCCATTGGGAGACAGCAGGATAGGGTGCCAGAAAGCGGAGCTGCCTGATGTGTGGAGCGATGAAATAAAGCCTCTCAACCCAGCCCCATCGCCAGAGAGCCCAGGAAACACATCCGGGCTGTTTGATGGCGTGCTGTTCTGCACTGTGAAGAATTGCCGTGGGAATTTCAAGCGACCCTGAAAAACAAAAGTGGAGCGCTGACGAAACACCTGAAATTATTTATGTCTGAAAATACGGATGAGGCAGTCCCAGTCTTTTACTCCTGCCCCTGCTGCAACGCTTCTGAGTGATGGAGGCACATGCGGGGTGTTGCTGTGGCAATGCACGAACAGTGAGCTCATGCTCCCTGTGAACGCCAACAACAGTGATGGGAGACAGCAGCTCTTATCAGCTGCTAAAATAAGCCTGGTAGGACTAAATTGCAGCAGTGGTGCCTTAGAAATTTAGTAAGCGTTTAGTTTTTGTAACGTGAGTGTGCTCTGACCCCGCTCCTAGACAGCTGTGATTGCTGCAACCATACACAAACAAACAGAGCTAAAGAAACAAGCGAACTCCCAGCCCCCTCCCACAGCTCGCACGTTCCTATCGGTGAGCAGATCTCGCTGAAATGAGATTCTGTGACGAGGGAGGAGCGATGCCAAGATTTCCCTGGTGGCTGTGATACGACACGTCTGGATGAGCCCCGAGACTTCAGAGCTGCCGAGGTATTAATTAGCTGAAAATGGATGATGCACGAGCAAAAGTAACACCTACACACCGCGAACCTTGCCCTGATAGGGGAGCGTCGCGCAGGGCAGATGTCTTTTCTGGCCAAAATGAGGCAGTCTGAGGACGCTCGATGTACAAAGCTGTTTCACTGAGGTGATAGCTAGGAGGTCCGTATCAACAGCATCCCAATTTCATAGCGCTATTCAGGAGCGCTGTGAAGGAGAAACGCTCTGAGAACTCACGCAGCGTGGGGAAGAGAGAGAAGAAAACAGGCGGACAGAAGAGAAGAAGATGCTCACCAGGGAGCAGCGCTCTGCTGCTCTCCGTCGGTCGTTCGGCGCGGCTCAGCACGGTGCGCCAGCTCTGCCTCCTGCGGCCGCAGCCCTGCGCAGCGCATGGGGCTCAAAACGCCGGAGACCAAACGAATGCCGAGGAGTTGATTTTGGAAAGCGCTGTTCGCCGGTCTCTCCTGCTCCCGTTTCTCTCCTTTGATGTAAGCGGGGTCACTTGCAGAAGTTTGGTGCTTCAGTAGCAATGGCTTCTTGCATTATAATCAGCTTCTCTCGGTGCAGAGTGGGGAGGGAAAACAGAAAACACTGGCCTTTCCAAAGAGTGTGAACTTTCCCTTTGCCAGACAAACCTGAGAATGGCTCGCGCCCATCTGGGCTGCCTTCAAACCCAACTTCCAAATACGTTCAGCTACCAAGAGATAAACGACTGCTGTAAATCAGTAACACAAAAACATAACAACACACAGCTGTGGGTAAAGCAGCCGCTGAGTTAACTCAGCAGGCAGTTTGAGCCTGAAATAGATATGCTCACACCATTCAGCTTCCAGGAAGAAAGAAGAACAAAACCCAGGGCTTTAGTTCAGAGAGGGCATCACAACCAGAGGCAGCTTCAGCAGGTTTAGTCCTCCTTCACTGTTAAGTCCAGCCACAGGAAATGCTCACCTCCTGCACTCATCCTTCAGCATCAGGGATGTTTTGCCCTCAGCGCCACTGACCGGAAGACCTGGAGTGCGTCCTAATGGTGATGAAGGCAAGGAAATTCCCTTTGACCATCACTCCTTTCTTCAGCAGAGGGCAGTGAGGCACTGGCACAGGTTGTCCAAGGAGGCTGTGGATGCCCCATCCATCCCTGCAGGCATTCAAGGCCAGGCTGGATGTGGCTCTGGGCAGCCTGGGCTGCTGGTTGGCGACCTGCACACAGCAGGGGGTTGGAGCTGGATGAGCATTGTGCTCCTTTGCAACCCAGGCCATGCTGTGATTCTGTGATTCAGCAGGGCTCAAATGGTAGAGATCTCTGCCACAGACCCTACAGCCATTTTGACTCCTTCCCATCCCTACAGTTCATGACCTTCTCTTTACCACGTTCTAATAGTTTATTTCAAGCACCTTTGGCTCTGATCACGACCTGTGTGGGGGGACAGACAGCAGCACCAGATCACGCACCAGGCTGCAGACCAACCTGAGCTGGTGCAGCTTTCTGCAGGCAAGGACACAGAGTGCTGTGCTGCAGTGCTGGCTGCTCACCATGCTGAGACACTGCTGCCGCACACAGCAATGCTGCTCCTGGACGCCCTCCTGTGCCACGAGGAGCAGAGCTCTCCTGCAAACAAACGTGCAAATACAGGCAGCCAGCTTTCATAGTTGGATTCCCTCTGCATTTCTTGAGGACGTGTTCAGAACTGGGAGGGAAGCCTTGTGGAGCGATGAAGTACCTGGAGTAACGCTGGGATGGCAGAAGCTGGACAGCATGGAAACTAACCAAGGATTTCCCTACTCCAAGCCCATGGTGAGAGAAACCCACCCAGGACAGGGTGCAGGTGAGTTCACCTCTGGTTGAAGCTTGCAGTTATCTACCCTTCTTGTTAAGGGAACTAATTCTGCTGCATGCTGTTCTAATGCAGTGTTGTTTTTTTGAACTAGGAGGAGCAGGAGAAAACAGCAGCTACACCTGCACAGATACCTTGTGAGCAACAGTTTATTTCAGGAGTAAGAAACAAAGTTCTCATACAAAGTAGAAAATGGTGACAAAGTACCAAATAATATTACAGTACTGGGACATTCATCGAGCTGTAATTGTAACCTATAGGCCAGCTGCATACTGCATAGGATAATTAATGCACAGTGCATCTCAGTCATCAATAAATATTTCCCTGTTCTCCGAAGGAGAAATCAGAAGCTCATATACAGATCAGTTCAGTACAGCTGTCGTTTTGGAGATGACCACGTTAATTTCCAGGTATGCACACCCACCTGGCAGCACAGATGAGATGAGCAGACCTGGCCAGCAGTGCTGCTCACACTCTGCTGGGATTGCTGGGAGCACACCGAGCACCCAGCCAGCACACCCAGATCCCACGGAAGGCTCTGTGCTCAAATGAAGGTTTAAATTGCTTTGCCCATTACATCAGTGAGAATATTCAACTTTTTTTTTTAGGGTACCTACTTAATTTGTCTAAGAAAAAAAAGATTATTTAATGATGGAACAGGTTGCCCAAGGAGGCTGTGGATGCCTTCATCCCTGGAGGCATTCAAGGCCAGGCTGGATGTGGCTCTGGCAGCCTGGTCTGCTGTTGGTGACCCCTGATACACACAGCAAAGTAAAATAATAATAATAATAATAAAAAAATAAAGTCTTTTTTGAGCAAACCTGAATCTGAATATGCAAAATAGTTCAGCAGCAGAACCATCTTCTCCAGAGTGCAGATCAAAAAACCTCAGCACTGAAGAGGGTTCCTTCTGCCCTCTTTGGTCGATGCAGGAATAGCACACCACACGGGAGCAGCTCCCTTGCCTTTCAGTACAGGGCCAGCTGCCTTCTGCTTAGTGACACTGTGAGGCCATGAGACTTAGAAGCTTCTTTTTGACATCTGGTCTAGAGAGAACTGAACTCCATCGTTAAGCTCCAAAGGGAACACACACACGTGGAGGCTGCAGGGCAAGACACGACAGCTCAGGCCCTGCCACGAAGCCAGCATCCCACACTTGCACACTGTGGAGGAGCTTCATTTGCTGCGTTTGGACATGCTGGAATCACCATCTTGGGTTCTTTGCTTAGACTTCTTTATCTTCTCAGCTTGAAAGAACATGAGTTCTTTCGGCCTGGAAAACTGAGCAGGCTGTTTGGGTTTTGCTCGCTTGTTTCAATCAGCACAAGGAAGCAATGGCTTCTCTCCAGGCTCACCGCCCTGTAACCGAGAGCCCAAAGCTCTCAGCCATCTCACCCATTCATTTTTGTATCTCAGCACATTTTGCTGCTTGGTTACTTATGCAGTACTTTGCTTGCTAGGAACAGGCACTTTTTCAGCTCACATGTAGTGTTCTTCCAGGACAGGAAAAGACCAGCCTTGCAGAAATGCAATCAGCAAAAACCTTGTGGCTCACGGAAGAGCATTGCAGTAAGAACAATGCGCCCTGGTATCAACCTGTGACCTTTTCTCCCTCTGACTATTTGTAATCCAGTACCCTCCCCCCAAAAATAATAAATGGCTAGTTTATTTACTCAATTCCTCTTTCCATCCTTGTTTTGTTTTCCTTGCACAGCCTGACATCTGATTTCTGTGAGACGTGGGCAGAATGCAGAGTGCGGTAACAGCTGATCATGAGCCAGATCCAGAAGGCTGAAATGTCAGGGACTGATCCTAATAAATACACAAGGAAGGAAAGAAACTGAAGCTTGAAGGAGACAATCCCTAACACCAGAACATCAAAACACCACACTTGTTCACTTGTGTGAAAGCTCTGCTTTTGATTTCTTTGTGTGTCACCTCATACAACCAGCAGGAGGTCGTTCTAACATGTTAAAACACAAAACCTCGTTCTAATGCGGTATGTAAAAAGCCTCTGGATACTGAAAAACTGAAGGGAAAGGTATTATTTATCATTTTGGGGTTGATGAGTTTTTTTAATCACATTAAATCATAAAGAAAATGGAAAACCAGTTCCCTGCTTACGTCTATCGACATCTTTTTCCTCTGACAGCGAGGCATGTTTTTTGTTTGCTTGTTTGCAGAGAACAAGCATTTCCTCTCTAAAAACTGTTTATTTATTTAAAAGGCACTCACTTACAGTAAATCTTATAACCCTGGTAGGTACAGAAGCAGCAGCTGGGAAGATCCAAGGCTTTACCTTCAAGAGAAACTCTGTCACCAGAACCTGGCTTCTATGCATTCTCTAACACAGATGGGAAGCTTCCTCCCAGAGACTCACGACTGCCTGTGTTCTTTACTTTCTTGTCTGCTGAATCATGCAGTAGGAATCTGAGGAGCTTGGATGTTTTTCTCCCCACTTTTCAAATCTTGAATGGTAGGACCAAAACCAAAAACTATGCCTTTTCTTTCCTAAATCTATCAGTCCAGTTTTGCTTCCTCGGATCTGGAATTTTTTCCCTGAGAGCAATATGAACCGACACAAGACACAGCCTCACTCCCACTACCAACTCTACATCCCCCAGGCCCTGTATCCCCAAATCTCCAAAGTCCAGAATTCGAGCAAGCAGTGTGGAGGATCTCCTGTTCAGAACGGAAAAGAGGATCTTTGCTGAAGACATCACAGCTACTGCTGCTTGGATAAGCTGAGGCTATCGGACAGGAGGAATTCCAGCTCAACAGTATCATCAGTGGTCTCTATTGGCACGTTGCTCTTTTCTGCAGGGGATGAGTAATTCTGGACTTCATGTCTCGAAGCTAACATTCTTGAAGTCCCGTTGCAAGAACATGCCTCTAGTTGTCCAGCGCTGCCTGGGCAAGTACAGTTTGGATGGTAAGCCCCTGGGCAGGAATTTGGTTGGCAGCGACTAGGGAAGTAGTATTTAGTTACCACAGGGCTTGATTCTGCTGGACTGTGAAAAAGATTATTAGCCACACAACAGGTCTGGAGACAGTTATTTCTGAATCTGTGGTGGAGGCCCAATTTAGCAATGAGGGGCTTCCCAACATTAACTTCCTTTCTTTCATCCATTGTGTCTTCTATTCCTGGATACTCATAGTGCAAGCAAACAGTGAAGATCAAGTGTTCCTATAAAAAGTACAAGAAGAGGAAAAAAGGTGATACTTCTTCCCCAAAGAACAACACAGGAAACATTTCAAGAGCCTACTGAAGGAGAAGACTAACTCTTTCAGGAGCTGAAGACATATTAGGCAAGGCTGGTAACCACATCAGCTAACACATGAAAGGTGGAGGCTCTGAATGATGCTGTTAATATCCTCAAGAACTCAGTGGGATTGCAAAAAGGAGCCTCTACTCGTCATAAAACTCTTCCTGCAAACTCAACTTCCGCCCACAGAAGCTGTGAGACATACTCAGAGATCTCCCACCCCTGACACACTTCTCTTAGTCTTCTTAGTACTGCTATCGTTGTCCTCTTTGAGCCACATGAAAGACATTAGCTGCTTCTATCCTACAACAGGCTGCCAGAGAGGCTGTGATGCCCCGTCCATCCCTGGAGGTGTTCAAGGCCAGGTTGGATGGGGCCCTGGGCAGCCTGGGCTGCTATGAAATGTGGAGGTTGGTGGCCCTGCGTGTGGCAGGGGGTTGGAGATTCATCATCCTTGAGCTCCCTTCCAACCCGGGCTGTTCTGTGATTCTGTGACAGGATTACTGTCGCAGTTCTAAGGGCTAATCACCAGAGTTACAAGGAGCCTTACATTTCACGCTAATTCCAAGTTCAGTTTCCCTTTCCTGCTTCAAATTCCACTAATAACTCAGGTGAACCAAATTAACCTGTCCCTGCACAGGACACGCAGACTGGATTTCTGAATCACCTTGCAGTCTGGGCACCCACGACATCTTGCAGGATAGATAATCTCATTTCCCATTGCTGCAGGCAAACACAGCAACAAAACAACACCCTCTCCTGCCCCCTCCAAACATTTTAGAGGACAGACCTAAATTAAGTTTTCTGTCCCCTTTACTGCCTAACAATACCTCAGAATTTTACTGTGGACCTCCTCAGTTGATTAATACTTGCTCATCTGCAAGTCTGTATTTCTAGAAGGATTTTCATTATACCACCTGCAAAAGCATTTAAGATGCCAAGCAATGTCCCAGACGAGGTATTCATGACACAAAGGTACAGAAATAAATATAAAAATGCTACCACAAGCTTTCAAAAATTACATGTCCAAGAATACAGCTTGGAATCAAAGTATGCAACATTTTCATCTCCTTCTGAAGACACTGTGAGATGCTGCTGTGTTTCAGGTCACATTCTTACTTTTCTACAAGGCCTAGGAGCATCTCCATAATGTGCATGAGATGGTGTTCACAAAAATAACCACCTTGTCAGAGCTCAGTATATGCCTAGAAAATACAAAGTGGCTTGCACAGTGATATCAGGACTGCATATGCACTGATTCTCTTCTGTTTTTCAGCTATGATAGTGAAGTCCCTAAAACATTGCTAGTCACCATTTTCCCTCCTAAGAATCTAGGATTTAGATCTAATAATAAGTTCTGTACATCTCCAGAATATGTTTCTTATCATACAAACAATACACAACGAGCTCAGCAGAACTGCAAAGTTAACATGATTAATTTATACTACTGTAAGGAACAATTCATATTAACCTTTAGCTTTTGCAGAGAACTTAGCCTGGTGTAGAGGCAGTGTTTGGGAAGGTCCTTTGAAACTAAATAGCTTCCAGTTTCCTCAGGAGTTCCTTTGTTGGCTTCTTTAGGATCCACATCCAGGTCCTATTGCAAGAAAGAGAGCAGAACTCAGACGAAGGTACAGAATTTGTGGATCATTAAGCAGCTAGGAGTAAAGTGGTTGGGTTTTTTTGTTTATTTTTAAATAAAGCACGTGCTTTTTAAAAGGAAAGAAAACGCCAATACTGGATTACTTGCAAAAGCTGCTGAAACTGCTGTTAGTCACAGAAATTGCTTAGGTTACTCTCCCTCTGCTGACAATTCCTTCTGAATTTGCTGCAGTACCATACCACTAACTCTGTGGGCTACAGAGACATGTATTTATCATGCACATTAATTCAAATATTGTATTTTTAATCGAGAAAACCCTGTTTTCTGCTAGGTTTTCTTTCCAGGTTTTCCGCTCCTGAGGAACTTCCAGTTTCACTCTTACCCTCTGCCTTACTGCAGTGAGATGAGCAATGCTGATGGAAGCAGAAAGATCACCAGGTGGAAGTAACTGAAAAACTAAATTCTAGGAAGTCCACTGTAAGGTAGATGTGTCCTACGTCCAAAATAGAGTTACTGATAATCACTCTTTAAGTTAAATGAACCACTTCACACTAGACAATCTGATAGGAAAGAACATCCCCCTGACATCCAACCTCATCTTCCCTCCTTCAACTTAAAGCCATTTCCCTTTGTCCTGCCATTATCCACCCTTTCCAAGAGTTGACTCCCCTCCTGTTTGTAGGCAGCAGTTACAAAAGGTGCACTTGATATGGACAGTTCTCAGCCTCAGTGCAGGGAGATCATCGAGTCCTGTTCAGGAAGCACTTACAAGTGGGAAGTCTGTAACGCAGGCTCTGCAAACAACTATCTCAGGTGGCTTCTTTACTATTCGTGTGTAGATTATCATGACATTGGAGAACTCTGCTGCAAACCCCAGCTGAATCTGGACGCCGCATTTGAATTCAAGATACATGCTTTCTGGAAGCTCTGCAAACAAGCAATACATAATTATCTTCTCAATAAAGATATACATTTCCCTATTTGTTATTCTTCTGAAATATTAGGCAGCATTGTCAGACACATGTAGATCTTGCCTCCTGCATTCCCTCTACTTATCACCCACGTCTTCATACTGAAGCAGCTCTTAGAAGCTAACCAGGCAGCAGCCGTTTGCTAGGTGCACTACCAGAAAGTAACAGACACCATACAGAGCTGATTTTTCAACTTATGTTACACAAGTTTCTTTCTGATCTTTGTGCAACTAGCAAGACCACAATCAACACAGCTATGATACAGCTTATGGACCTAGGAATTTGTTTTTATGTATATTCAATCAAACTAGCAAAGTCAGTGAAATATCCTATAAGGCACAGCTATGACTTTATAAGAAAGTTTGAATGTGACAGCAGAACACATTCAAACACAGCAGAAGTTTCCAAGGTCTGAACACACTAGTGAAAATTAAGATATGAATGTGCATTTCTTCAATTTCTATTCTGAACTGCACTTCAGGGACTAGAGATAATCAAGGATGTACCTCCTCTTATTTTTGAAGGAGCTGTTTATTTCAAGTGACCTAGCACCCCAGTATGCAATTTCTATAATTCAAGTAGTTTCACCTACAGGTAAATCATACTATACCATGAGCTTTGGCCCACTGTAGGTTCCTTGCCATGGACTCTGCAGAAGACATGGTTTGTTGAATGGGATCAGATAATGCCCTTTTCTCAGACAAACTGCTGCGGATCTCCAAAGCTTGCTTGCCTTTGGTGAGGTGACACTTGCCCATATCTAAAAACAAGATGTAATATTTCTATCAAAATCACTGCTGCTGAAGTTTAACTACACCACTGCAGTGTTGTGTGGCTGCTACAGATACAACAGTGTAAGAATTTCCATGTCACCTTGCTGTTTCAGAAGATTTATTTCTCAGTTTTTTGTTCATGAGGTGTTGTGGGTTAAACCCAGAAAGGAGCTAAGCACCACACAGCCCTGGTGGGACAGGGTGAGGAAAGGAAGAGTAAAAGAAAGAAAACTTGAGAGTCAGGATTAAAAAAAAAGAAGAATAAAGAAAGGAGAAGTAGAACAAGAGGAAGAAAAACAAAACAGGTGATGCAAACGCACTCACACATCACCACCCCTAGGCAGACCAATGCTCAGCCAGTTCCTGAGCAAAAGACAGCTGTCTTCCTAAACACCTTCTTGGCTTTGTATTGCCAAGCCTAACTGTAAGGTATGGAGTGTCTCTTTGGCTAGCTTGGGTCGTCTGCCTGGTTTTGTCCCCTCCCAACCTCTCACACACCTCCAAATCTAATCACTGTCAGGCAGAGCTGGAAAAGGCAGGCCTTGATGCTGTGCACCGTTCAGCCTGTACATGCAGAACCTTTTAATGTCAACAAGCCTTTGGAACTTTTCCACATGTACACCAACGTACCTCTAACCCCTGATATCTGGTAACACTCACACTGGTTGTCCTGTTGCCTGACGTAATTTTCACTCACGCTGCCAAATGCACACAAAGCTGACTGAAGCATGGTTGTCTGGCACTGCTTTTGGGCAATGCAGGCACTCTTCTTTTGATGAGATGGAACTCTCGAGCAGCTGGAGCACAGCACGCTGTACACTACATGCTGTACCTGTATTTTGTTCAGTCTGCTCTCAGATCTCTTAGAGGCTGCCAGTTCCATTTCTTAGGAAACGTCCGCCTTCTGTCTTGCCTCTCCCTTCTCACCCTCCTATCTCCTTGCTGGGACAGACTTCCATGCTAAGCCCCAACAGAAGCTGCCTTTATGCTCTCCCCTGTGAGGGATAAGTCCTTCACTCTAGCTCAAGCACGAGGTAAGTAATAGGTCAGAAGTCAGGATACCTACAGCACGTGACACTACCCTAACAGCACAGGCTATGCAGTAAGAGAGATGGGATTTAGGAAAAACGGGTGTTGGCAGAATTGTGTGTCATATTCTAATGTGGGAGCACTGAGCAGAAATTAAAGAAAAGGAATCACAGGGAATATTAGCCCTCTTGAGAAAACCCAATGCCAGAGGGGATGAGGGTGAGAACACTTTTGGATATTTGTTCACTCTACATATGTATCTGTAAGCATTTTATCCTAGTTGAAGAACTCATTGGTCTGTGGCAATTAAAAATGTAAGTGGTTATTTGTTCTACTCTTTAATGCAGAGAATGAGAATGTGGGATAACAGTCAGAGGCACTATTGATGTTTTGATGGGTGGATAAGGCGTTTCTTTTTCCCCAAAAAACATTAACAGAATACTCTGGGACACAAGACAGATATAGGAAAGGAAAAATACTGGCATCTGATTCAAACCAGTGAATTTCAGGACTGGTAGCTTAGTGAATCTGAGCCTGAATACAGCAGCTAGTGAGCAACCAGCAGGAAAAGCAGTACTGGAATAATTTTCATGGACATACGATTCACTGCTCCATGCAGAAGACTCAGAACAAAGAAGGTTCACTAGGAAGCAGAATATAAAGTTAATTTGTCACCGTACTGAAGAAGCTCAAATCCCTGTATAATACCATGATCTTTGGTAGCACCTGTTGCTTGTTAAAAGCTGTCACTGTAACAGTGAAACATGAAATAGCTTGAAGTAACGTAACACATCTGCCATGAGAAGAATCACAGTTAAGCAAAGAAGCATTCAATCAGGCAGGCCGAGAAGATGGTTGCTGTAGAAAGCTGCAATTCACCTTCAGCAACTTCATCAAGCAGCACTGTGATCTTCTTGTCCTCCAGCAAACGCTCCTTCAAGAACTTCATGAAAATTCCATTGGCCAATCCCAACTGCTGAATTTCAAAAGCTTCTGCTCCTTGGCACCTGAAATCACCAATATGAGGCAATGAAAAGAAAAACTACTGCAGCAGCCATATGACTAAGATCAACGTGAAGACAAAAGAGGTGAAGTTATTTGGGAATGGATGAAGGAAACCCTCTCACTTGAAAACCAGCTTGTGTCTAATGACAACCTGCTTTTCATTTTCATTTGCAAACAACTCATCCTGGCAAGACTTTACTCATAACCAAACCACAGACCAAAGGTGATCCTGAACTGCTGGTGTGAGAAGCTTAGATTTCTTCACTAAAGCTCTTGGCTATTTCCATTCAACAGCTTTTGTACTAATACAGAGAGGTTACACAGATTGCTGTATGAGTAAACTCTTCAAATAATTTCAATCCAAGTGTAACTGTTACTTATATCTAGAAGGAAAGCAAGAAAAGCATGGGACAATCTGCATGCCACTCTTCCAAAAACTGATTAATCTCTCTCACATTTTTGCATAAATTTAACTAAATGCAACTTAGTAGAGATTCTTACATTTCTGCAAGTAGCCATTACAAAGAAGCCCAGCAGTTTCAGTTTTGCTGAATGCAGTTTTCTCATAGCATTACCTTGTATCTGAATGAGAACAATAAATACGGGGATGCAATCCCACAATCAGAGTGTGGAATGGTTTGAAGAATGAAGTCAAAAAGAAAGTCTGAGGATACCAATATAAATTACTGGTCTCTTAACATGATAGTTGGTATTTTCCATAAAAGATTAGCTATAGCCTCCTGACTTCAAAATCTCTGTGGCCTAGTGGGAGAAAGATTTCCTTACGTGGCATATCCAAAAACAATGTTGGCAGTAACCTTCAGAGCATCTAGGATGAGGATTGTATCATCGTATTCATTTCTGCAACAAAATACACAAAAACATAAGAAGAATTATTTGAGAATTAACATAATAATAACCACCACAACAGCTGTTCAAAATATTAAAGCACTACAGTTTAGAAACAGTACTTTTTTTCTCCTACGATTCTAGAATTAATCCTGACAGCTAATGACAAACATCAGGACCATTAGCACTCTTCGTGAAGACAGTGTGAAGAGACAGTTCAACATCTCCTATCAGGGTGATGGGCACGAAGCATTAAGCAATATCAAGTTTAGTTACAATCTTTGCAGAAATGGCTTCCAACAACAAGGCTTTTTATGTAACAAGAGAAACTATATGAATGCTCTTTTTCAAAACACGTCTTAGAGTTAATAGGAGGCTTATGTAGCAGTATTTTCACATTTCACAGCAGACTGTGAAGCTGAAATGGCCACTGGGAAACGGGGGAATGGTTTGAAGTTGAGGGAGGGAAGATTGAGGCTGGACGTCAGGGGAAGTTCTTTGCTATGAGAGTGGTGAGGTGCTGGAACAGCTGCCCAGAGAGGCTGTGATGCCCCGTCCATCCCTGGAGGTGTTCAAGGCCAGGTTGGATGGGGCCCTGGGCAGCCTGGGCTGCTATGAAATGTGGAGGTTGGTGGCCCTGCGTGTGGCAGGGGGTTGGAGCTTCGTGATGCCTGAGGTCCCTTCCAACCGTGGCCATTCTGTGGTTCTGTGATTCACTGGCATTTCATGAGTGGTGAAGTTTAGAGGCTCTACAAACATTAAAGCACTAGCACTTTCCAATTATGAAACATCCCACAGAGATCAGTTTTAAGAAGTGATGACTGAAGAGCTAATTTCAAGTGTAAGTTTATTGGAGCATAATATTCTCTTGACGTGTTTGTTTAGACAAAAAAAAAAAACCCATGAACTAGTTGATATTTAAATTCTAAATGAAGATAAAACATTCCAGCACAAGATCCATGCCTCTTAAAGAGTTCTAAAATAACCACTTGAGCCCTTCTGTCAAACAGACACAGAATCATAGAATGGCTTGGGTTGGAAGGGGACTCCAAGTATCATCAAGTTCCAACCACATACGTTTGGTTGTGGATTCTCCTTCCTTTCTATGATGATAAAGGTTAACGATGCAGGGGGAAAGGGGCGTTTTTCTTCTTTAAGAGACCTAATTTCACTTTTATCTTAATAACCACTGACACTTTAAAAATTTTAAACTAAAGTGGAAAAAAAGGAAAAGAATAATTTCATTCACATCAGGAAGCAAGTATCCGCACATGGAAGTGGAAACTCTAATCACCAGCTTCATAGATCTGTCCAAAGCCAAAGGCAAAGTAATTCTATTGACTTTAGAAGAGCTCAGGGGCAGGCTGTGATTTTTCAGAACCACGAATGTTCAGATGCAATAAATACACAGAACAGATTAAAGATCCCTCCCCAGCCTGAAGTCCAGCATCCCCTCAAGATCACTGTACCTTTTCCGACACATATCCAGTAGGAACACATTGAGTCCTGTCTCTTTTTCCTGCATTAGTTTGAGGATGTTCTGCACGCACAGACAGTTTGCAGATCGGTAGGGATTTGGAGCATCAATAGGAACCATGAAACTGTTCCCATAGTTTTCATAGCCATGGCCAGCATAGTACAGCAAACCTGAGAGAGCAAAACAGAAGCGGCTGAAAACACCAGCTCAAGATACACTGGAGCATTGCCATCAATTTTAAGGTGGTCAAAAACTTCATGCTCCATCCCCACATTAAGTGTCTGTGGGAGCTTGAGATCCTTCAAGCTACTCCAAGCAGTGTTCCTGGTACTGATATGCTTTATTAAGATAGGGAAGAAGTGAAGAAGAGGAGGAAAAAAAAAAAGGGCAAAGTCAGCTTCACAACGAGCAGACAACAATTAAAATATCTGCACTCATGAAACAGAATCCATTATAAATTTATATCAGTCACAAAAAGACAGCTAAATACTCTTCAAGTGCTTCAAGTAGAGTTATGACCTCTAACAGAAATAATGTTATCTACTATATATAACTCAGATAGATACGAGGAACTGTGCCAACTGTAAACGGCTTCTCCACATGTGCAAATACAAAGCTTTGTGTAGGAAATCACTGCACACAGAAGATAACCATGGAGACTAGCTGGATTTTTTCTAATTCTGTAAAAGATGCTCTCCCTTTTAAAACTTTTTGTTTTTTAATCTTACTATTAACCCTGCAAACAGAGAAACGCTTCTCTTACACTGTAACAGTGCTTTGGGAGTGACAAAAAATACTTATTTAGCAGGGAAGAAAATATTCCATGATGACATTTGGTAGGATTCCAGAGCACATCAGTGTCACTGCACTACCAGCAGCCCGTTTTTAGTTGATGACATTATCTCTCTTTGCAGTTTCATGATCCATGATTCATGTATGACTACTAAAAAAATTCTTTACACGCTTACCTAAGCACAACAAATTATCCAGTTTATTAACTCATGAAGATGAATGCAAGTCTGCCACACTTCATGATTTACAGCCTTCAAAATGCATGAACAGCTCCATGTAAAGAAAATATATCACAGATGTGAAGAGAAGCTTTTCTTAATTAGGGAAAGGGGGCTACAAGCCAGGGCTCAGATTTTACACATACGAATTAAAATGTCAGATACTAACAATGCAGCAACTTGTGGTAAAATTAGACAATCTCAGCATTAACAACTTCTGCCAACTGTTACCAGTCGATACCAGAACGATCTGAAGGAATTTTCCCATGGTCTGTTCCCAGTGCTCTTCTTGTTTAATAATTTGCTTTCTAAGGCTTTTCATTGGCTCAGATCTTCAACTAGCAAACAGTGCTGCAGCTGAACCCAAGTCAGCAGAAATACCTGTAACTCATGTTAACTGGAGATGTGGTCTTCTTATGCCTCTATTTTTACTAAAAGCAGCTGTGAAATTAGTTGTATTGTAATAAAACTTCAATATTCAGTAGAAACAAGCTTTGCCCTAATGTACTAAAAATATTTGTCAGCTTGTGACAGAATGCTTCATGTAGAAATGCTACATGCTTCCCTTTTCCATTACAGGTAGCAACAGCAAAAGCAAGCACTTGTGTCACACGGCCCTGCCCATTCTGTAAAGGAATACCACCAGACAACTCTATCCCTTCAAACTGAGCCCTAGGTTCTCTGCTCAAGTCATTAACAACTATGCCAAGACCTTGCTAACTGCTCCATTCAGTCAGCAGTGCTCAATTTCTTTTTATGGGAAACATGCATAGTCGAGATAAGCAGCCAGCAAGTGCATACAAGGTAAGCTCCAGGGCCAGGGGCTTCACTTCAAAAGCCTCGCTGTTATTCATCCGACAGGGTCTTGGAAAATGACAACAGCCTGACTCAATTAGAAGGTGAATGTCTGAAGGGCACAGAATTTTAAGCGTGTGATTAAAACCTAAACAAATGACCATGGCGTTACTGGATTCTTTACAACATCCTTAAGGATTTCTTTCAGAAGAGTTAAAAATGAAGTGCCGAGGGCATAATTCTGCATCAGATCTGAAGCAAATGGAACGTCCTAAAATTTACTTCCAGTTAAATACGTAATCGGACCGACTGAAAGAGGTTTCACTTTCACAAGGCTGGGCTGATGAAACTATGCTAAGGCAGAAAGAGAGGCAGAAAAAAAATGAAGGTGACACCTCTCAAGTAATCAAATCAAAATCATCAAATTAATGAGTTGGATCTATGTTAAAACAGAACATCTGTTCACACTCCCACTGCCCTCTCATTGCACAGCTTTGCTTCCCAACAATGGACCAAAGAACTTGCTTTCATTTTAAGGATCAATCAGTTAGAAAGTGAAACTATGGGTATGGAACATTTTAAGACACCATGCAGGAAGCAATGAAGTCTAGATGCTCACTTGAAAGCATCATTCCTCACAGCTGTTACCTTCTTCAACATGCCACAGAGATGATGCTAAATGAGGGCAAACCTGACGTCCACCGTCCCCACCAGGAGTGCAGAGGTAAATGACAGTGCACATAGGCAGCCACACACCAGAAAAAGGAAATGTCTGGAAAAGGAGAATCATCTCCAGCTCCATCCAACTCTATGGTTGCAGTCAGACTCAACCCATCTCGTGGGAGCATCACCCAAAGCTCTGCCATGCAGCATCCATACAGCTACTGACCAACTGCTCATCTCCAGCTGCCCTCAGCCTTTTGCAGCAGCCCCAGCTCCATCCCTGTAGGTCCTATGCCAGAATAGGAACACTAGAACACACCTCTATAATGCACCACAGGTTAATGCCATTTACACTGCCAGTTTTCAGACAGCTATCCTCAACACCCCTTGCACAGAAGACATTGTTTAGTGCTACTCAGACTCAAAGTCAGGTAAGCAGAAGTGCCATGACTTGCAGCCTGCTGCAGCATGAACTGAATGCACAGAGATGCACGCTACCTTTTTGCTGTAGGAGAAGCTCTAGGAAGGGCAGGAACAGAATTTGTAGTGCATTTCCTCAACGAATAGAAATATATCAGAAATAACTACTTTTATTTTCATCCATAAGTAGATGATTGTGTGGCACCTTTTTGCTAAGTACCTGCAACAGTTAATACGTTGAGCACAAGGTCAGAAATAAATCTTTGCATGCGTAGAATAAACATATTTGGAAGCCTCGTTAGACACTTGGGCACAACAATTTTAAGTAGGCTCGGATTCTTCAGACGTCAGCACTTAAGTGGTACTGGCAGCTTCTTTTTTTTTTTTTTTTTTTTAAAGAAAAAAGTCAAACTATTTTTATCCTGTGGAACACACAGGTCTATGTCTTTATCCCCTGTGGAACAGAACATTAATTGCACGTCACGTTTAACACCATATGAACCAAAGCATGAGAGGAGACCATCACCATCACGTTGTTTACAAGTCCTGCTCTCAAGGAGCAATGTCTGAAATGCCACTTTCCTGGCAGTAAGCAGCAATTACACAGTGTCACATTAGGCATTAGGAGCATGTGTAACAAGGACTAAACAGGAGTTGCTGCTATGCCTCCGTTTGGAGCGATGCCTGCTTAAAATGCAATAAATCATTATCTATTTGTGACTGGCTGCATCTTTTATATGCTTTAAGACATTAATTGACACTATACAGAAAGAATAAAGCCACCATTTAAATCAGCGTAGCTACTGCCAGACATTACTGAAAGAATGCTCTGCTTTCCTTTTTGAAATATCATCCTGTTGGAAGAAAAACAAAAACACGGCTTGTAAGGGCTTTCATATTGTGCTGGTGAGAAACTCATTCAAGTCTTTCAGTACTTTATCTTCTCAGTGCATGTCAGAAACTATAGAAAAAAACTGAAAAGGTGCAAAAATCTAAAAACTCACCCAGACACACAAGCACATCTGTTTCCCAGGGAACAAACCAAGAAAACTGCTACCAGAAAGTCTGCTGAACCTTACTGCCATAATTAGGCTTCACGTCATGCGTGTTTTGGCTCTGAGATAAATGCCCAAATGTCAGATCAGCCAGTTCTCCACAGAGCATCAGGTAACACACCATTTTAAAAAAGTCAGAGATACTCTGACCTTGTGTTCCGAAAAAGAATTGAATAACGTTTCCTTGGCTGGACATTACCACAGAAAACTCTGCAATTTAAACAATGCAATTGGGTGAGCTTCCCAGCCCCCCTTCTAAAGAATTTCAACAGCCACACAGTCAGCTTTCATAAAAATAATGACAGAGGCAGTCAGCAACAAGCTCCTCAAAGCAAAAGATATATATATATGTATTTTAATTCTCCAAGCCAGACCATTCTTGGCCTTTTCCAGCTGAGACAAAGGCGTTTTGCTCAGTGGATCAATTCCACCACATCCTCCCAGTGCCAGTCAGCAGGTTCTGCCTCTCCAAGTCAGGCTTATCCAGATATTCTTTTTCTTACCAAATAATCTAAGATTCAATGCATATCAGTAGTGGCAACAATACCAGACTTGACTGGTTAGTCAGTCACAAAGTCCTTTATTATTCACAACTGCAGAAATTACAGACCTGAAGTCTGTAGCTCATCAGTTTCTCAGTTAATGCCTTCCCTTATGGGAGGTATATTCTAGAAATGATAACATGAATTCTTCTCTGTTTTATTTCTTTAAAGTCCATAAACAAGAGAAATAAAACTCTGTTTCTAAAGAAAAACTTTTTTTCAGTTTGCTTTTTGAAGAAGAAATTCAGGTCAGCAGAGCTTTTTCATGCCTTGTGAAGGACTTAACAAAGAAATCCATGGTTGCCAGACCAGTATCACGCCAACTGAAAGGAACTGCAATTCAAAACAAGGATTTCTACTTAACCTGAACACTTGGCAGAAAAAGAAGAGGGCTTAAGATGCTCTCCCTCCCCACCCTCTCTACCCCAACACACCTGGGATCAGAATGCAGCTTACTGCTGAGGCAGAGAAAAGCACCTCTTCCTCTGTTCTTTAAAGATCTTCTGAGTGAGGACTAAGAGCACAGCAGCCCCTCCCACAGAGCTTCAGAAGGATGGAAATCCATAAGGAAAGAGTATTCTGCAGACATCCAGTAGAAAGACAGGAGATGAACAGAAGAGTTCCAAAAGCAAGCTCAGAACATATTGCATGCTCTACTTAGGTCTGCTCCCCACCTTACCAGAGCAAATGCAGCCTGATATGCAAGAGGTTGGTTAACTTTAATGGAAAAAGCAACTTGCAGACACAGGAAAGGGGGAAGGAGGACAGAGGAGATGTGTAAGAAGGTGCTTTAGAGGTCTCCTGAGAGCACCACAGACTATGTTAGCATTCTCTAATTTTGTATTCTGCTATGAGCTCTTTACCACAACAGTCCAGTAAAAAAGACACAACAGACCACTCTTGCTTAAAAGATTACTAAAGCAGTGCTAATAACTTGGTATAAATGTGTATTTTCTGCACAGCATATTGTCAAATATGCTCAGCAGATGCAGCAGCTGGCAGATAAACACAACAGTACACTGCAGTTTTAGGTGTGGTTAAAGAAAGAAGATCAAAGATTCAATCTTTCCAATAATAGAGTAACAGTAATGTTTTTAACCCAAGTCAAAGGAAATGCTCGTGTTTAGCATGTAAGCAGTGTGAAAAGTTAAGTACAATGAAGTTTTGTTTTGCTGTTACATACTTGGAACTGGCAGAAGTAGATAGCTAATGTTTGTGTGCTTTATATCACAAATGATTGAAGTATTCAGAAAGAATCCCACAGGCTCTCACCATATACTCCTCTGTCTAGTAGAAGTAAAAATTCGTCCACTGCATTTCGCATCTCAGACTCAGTAAGATCCAGCAAAGAAACAACTTTGAAATCCAACTGTCTTAGCAAATTGGTCAATTCATAGACATCCACCATTGGGGCCTTGAGCTGGGGGTGATTCCAGTAGCTCATATTTCCTATTAACAGAGCCACCTTGTCTGTTGCTGTAAAAACAAAGAAAAAAAGTAAAACCACAACACATTTAATGCATTCCCTGGGTTCAACACCTTTAAATTTAATTTCTTCCAAAGCAAAAATAACGTCCAGTCTCACTTGAGGAACAATATTTGAAAGTCATCCTGTGTCAGCTATACAACCAAACTCATTCTCATCCAAAAACCAAAGAAACATTCCAGCATGTTCTGACAGTCAACATACCTGAGCTGCGATGCAGCTCAGACTGGGCCATCTGTCAAGGCATGGGTCAAGTCACTAAGGCCGTCTTGCTTTCACAACTCATGACAGCACAGTCACTGAACTCCCTCATACAAGAATAGAATGAACATGCATGTCTTTATGGCAAGTTGCTAAAGCTACGGCCACTTATAATTCCTGCCCCTCAAAATAAATCTTCTCGCTTTTCTTAAAAACAAAACCACAAAAGAAAACACCACACAAAAAAAAGAGCACTTTCACATCTCCATCTCCTATATTTACATCTCTCTACAATATAGTGTGTTTAAGTAGAAGCTTTTACTTAAGCAGAAGCTTTAACTAAGCTTTATTTAGGTCAAGCATCAGAAGTCTTTCTTCTGTTTGTTAAGGTTTGTCTAAGGTTCTTCCTCTGATTTTAGTGAAGTCAGAAGTACTTACGTCCTGAGAAACAGTGCAGCCAATGAAAGAAAAACATTGCACTGGCTCAGATGTAAGAATAATTTATTCAAAGCAAGGTATTTTTCCTCTGTTTTGTCTGTTGCTCCTATCCTTCAGCAGGAATTACTGCCTAACTGCTCCAGTGGCAGATGGAATCATGCATTCCCCAAACCTGCCTATGTCAGCAACCCCACACTGACAGAAGGTCTCTGTCCACTGCCTCAACATTTAACATTTCACTATCTTCACCAAGATCCCTAATTTGCCTTTAACATTTTTGCAGCCGAAAAGCTGCAAAGTCTTGAACAGTGTAAACCATCTTAACAGTGGAGAAACATGAACAGTGATCCTAGAACACTGCTGCTGAAAAAGTACTAGAAGCAGGTTTTCCACATGCTTTGGAAAAGGTGAATGAGGAGTGGGGAGCACTTACACTCCCTCTTATCACACTCAGTGATAAGACTGTGGCACAGACCTGCAGCCTTTCCCCCAGTTTGGCACCAACCAAAACAGCGTGCCTGGCCACAGTCAGGTCTACCATGCAAAGTTCAGAATGGGAATAAAAATCCAGCAGGTTTACTTCAAATCACACATCTGCCATCCATCCACCTCAATGAGCTGCATGCACTGTGCACAGCTAAAGGGACAGCACAGCCTTAGTAGGCAGACTACCATCACCCTAATGCTGTATCTCCAACTGCTGAAGCATTCAAAGTAATGGTGTAACACACTTGTTAAGGTCACAGACATAGGATTTGTAACAGTAACCTGAAACAGACCAGAAGTTGTAGACACTCCACCAAATCACTAAAAATACTGGTGCCCTCATCTTGGCTTACTACTGAAAGGGCAACCAAGCACTACAGAGGGCTACAACAACACAGATGCCTCCCTCCTGACAGCTATTTCAAAAGTTATTTCACAAGCAACGGCAGAAGCCGCAGCTACAGAAGCACTTACCAAAAGGTCTGTCACTGAACTGTTCCTGTAGGTCTGCTTGAAAGAGATGAGAACAGATCATCAGTGAGTACAGTCACAGTGTCAGCATCAGCAAATGAGCTGCACCTTCACCAACACCAACACTCCACCACTGCTGCTCTGCTCCTTCACTGCTTTCTGATATCTTTCCCCTACTCTAGTAGGTCATGGATTTTTAGAGGTAATAGATGCTTAGGGAATCATTCTGAATCTTGCACTCCGCACATCAGCACTTTCAGTAACATCCAGAACAGTTCATCCTCTCCCAGCGAAATGCAGAAATGCAAGACAGGGAAAAGCTTAACAGGGATGACAATTTGCTATGTGAAAATTCTCTTATTTCATGCTTCCCAAAGGGATGGGAATGCCCAATGCCTCACACAATGTAGCTCTCAATAACGTGTACCATAACAATGATACTGCTATAACTTTCAGGGACTAACACTGGGCAAAAGCAAACTCTGATGTCTAATCCAGGAAGCTTTGTGATTTGAAATTTTAGGAGCACTGTTGCAGGGATAATCCCTCAGGGCGTACTATTCCAGGCCTGTTTTTATAATAAATATCTAACAGGCTCCAAGCCACATTTGCTCACACCGATTTATACGAATCTGTGAAATAGATTCTCTCTCTCAGGGAGATATCTTGCATCCTATTTGCCCTGATCATCTGAAAAAGCATCAGTGCACTAAAATGTAACAGTCCATCAAAGCCACTGACAAGAGAACAAAAGATTCCTTCTGTATTTGAAAAAGTAAACGCAGTAAGTATGCAAACGGTGTAAAATAGAGGATTGGTGTGATTCTGCAGAGCCAATAGCAACTCTGTGGTTCACTGTACATCTTCAGGTTAGTTTACTGAAACCAGAAGGTAGTACTGCTCTTAACAGGGTATCTGCCACCATTAAATCTCATTATAAATACAACCAAGTAATGTAAAGTAAACACTGTGACCCAGCTAGGCTTCAGCAATTGTGATTTGTAATGTGAAATTAAAGCTTTTCAAACATGTCACTTACCTGTTTTCTGAAGATCACTTAGCTCTTCTGTGGAGACACACACCAATAAAATTAAGTTTAAAAAAGTAGCCAAAAAAATGTGTATTTCATTAATAAATATATAATTGTCATGTGGTTATTAACAAGCCAAAAGCTAGAACAAAACTAAAAAATACTTTTGGCTTCATACTTTTGTAAATCTAACTTTCACATGCTTATTCCACATGCACGGAAGAGAACTACATTAACCACATACTCAAGACACAGCACTACAATTCGGCCAAAACAAAGGGAGAAAAACACCATGCCTCAGTCCCATGGGCATGCAAGCAGCTTGAATGAATAAGGAATAAGACATCAGAATCACTCAAGTGAGAAAAAGATGTTTGAGGCCTGCTAAAAAAGCAACATCCTGAGCAAGAAGTCTTTCTCTGTCACACCATACGTATTCAGGGGGACATAATTTTCAGATACAACTTTCAAACACTCTAGACTGCCACAGATTTCAGTTGACTTCTTTCAGAATACTGGAAACTATGGAAAAACTAAGTCCTGTATGCGAGGCCCCTCAGAGCATGCCTGCTCCAGTCAGTGCAGCACGAAGCAGAGCTCTTCATCAACAAATGCAGGCACATACGCTCACGTGGGAAACTCTGGGTGACTGAAGTGAAAATAGCAAGGGTTTTAACGCAGCTTAGTAGCAGAACAAACTTGCATCCAAGCAAACCTTAGTTTGTGCAAAGGCCCCAGCATTTTCAGTGATTATATCCTGCTTTAAGGGCTGACTGAACTGCAGGTAGCCAGGAGGCTTCTGCACAGGATCCATCATTTCCTGCAGAAACCTTCTCAAGCCAGAAAGGATGCTAAGGCTTAAGAAAATAACGAGTTATAAAAGCTGAACTGTGGAAGTGGCTGATACTGAAATTTGTGCCAGTTGTATGCTGCAGTGCACAGTACCCTCACATTGTCAAACTTTCAGAAAAGGGGCTAAAGAGAACACTGCCTCCTGTTGAACTTTGAAAAACAAAGGTTGCACAGCAGTTTGATTCCAAGAAAACAAAGAGCAGGCAGCCATGCACAGTGCCTTGAAAATGCAATTGTTTTCTTCACTGTTGGCAGAGAAGGTGCTGCTGTAAGCAGCCTTATATTTTCCCACATGATTCCCCCACTGTGTAAATTGTATAAACTTCAAGATTCCCAATAATCAACTGATGGCATAGCAGCGATGCAAAGAGAAAAGAAACTGACTAATAATGTTACTGGAAACGCATCTCACAGACAAAGAACTGACTGGATCGAGCTCTATCCAACTCTTTAAGGTCATTCAGTCTCCTAAACATTCCCAGATTTTCTTGCAGGGATGTTGCTTCCTCAGCCCAGCCAAAAAAGCCTCACGAAGATCAAATGCAGGACACAAAAGCAATGCAGTATTCAACACTGAACACTACAGAAGAAAGAAAGGAGCGTGATTTCAAGGCAAAGAGGAGAGAAGCACATCCAGAAGGAAATGTTCCATCACCCAGCACTGTTTTAAAGCACAGTGAAGTTCGTAACCCATGTATGCTTTTCAGCAACACACAGCAATCCATCATCCCCATCATTCATTTCTTAAAAGTGATTCACAACTAAAGAATTACTTTACCTTCTGTGCACTCCACTGCCATAGCTTTCCTTCCTTGTGTTTTAAGGGAGGGGAGGGGGGAGAATTGGAAGACAATTTCTCTCAGTTATGAGAGCTAGAGCACAAAGTGGAAGTCAAAATTCACCTCCAATCTGGCTCATTTTACAGCACTATAAATCTTTAAACACTGGCTATGATATTTATAGTAATTGTTAATACAATCCTGGAGCACTACAGTATTTCTTAACAAGAAATTTTCATATGAATTATGCAATAATATTCTCAGATATATCTGGAAACTATAGAAACAGATCTTTCCCTGCTTGATTTACTGCAAATACATGCACACGTACTAATCAGTGTTCCATCCATTTACTTCACTTGCTATGAATAATATCACCTGCCCTGACAGCTGAAGAATTCCACATAACAGTTCATATCAGTAAAGGATCTTCGTGAAATCTTGAGGCTTTAGATGTTATTTGGTTGTCAAAAAACATGCAGATGAAGAAATCAGCTCTCCATCTGTTGACAAGCCATGTTCCTAGTAGCAAGGCCAAGAAGTGTTAGCATCTCTATATTAGCTACCGTGAAAACTCAAAGCACTTCACAATTCATATAAAACTGCCTTTGCTGCCAGCGAGCACAGCTATCTTAATCAACAGATAAACTAAAAACACAGGCAGCTAACTGCTTGGCTGAATACTAGAAGTCTGAGAAATTAATTCTAATATTAGGGAAGAAATTGATAAATCAGCTGATCTACATAAAGCTGACAAATTCCATACCTACAATGACGTCTATCTTCTTGCTGTCTTGGTCTTCCTGGTCATTGAATACGTGACACCAGTACGTTCCCCCATGTTCCATGTCCACGCAAGACACCTACGTGAGCACAGCTGAAAGTCATCCTGACAGCCCCCAGAAGAATCAGTTTCCCTGACAGCCCCCAGAAGAATCAATTAAAAGCAAAGCCTAAACAAACCCAACAGTTGCTGATGCCCTTATTCTACATTAAGTGTTCTAGAAATGCTTTCGAGAATTGAAGAAAGAATGCAAATCTGTCCAACAGGCTTGAGATGCTGTAAGTATCAAATGTAACTGATCTTCCACAGAGCTTTACAGTATGGGATAGAATGAGATGCTTTAACTTTTACTGGCACTTAATCTTTGTGTTGTGTCAACAACCCAGAATGTACTGTAGGCTTCCACTCCATGACTACCACTTCAAACACGTTCTGGATTATAATTCTGCACCCTGGAGCCTGAGAACAGCATCAGCATTGGAATAACAGAGCAGGAAAGCTGTGCACTTGCACAGATGTTATAAAGGCTATGAAGAAGTTATTTTCTTCATGGAAACATTATACGGTAGGCTAAAGGTGGTAATATCTTGATCTCACAAGGATGGCACTGTGTGGTAACTCACCGTGTAGACATTTCTGCTTCCATTTGCCAAGGGAAATCCATTTCTGAACCACTGGTATTGAGGAATTGGGTTTCCAACAGCTCCACATTCTAATACCAAAGCGTCTCCCACAGTCAGGTTTTGTGGCTGAGGCTGAATACAAATGCACAGCTTCTTTTCAGGCAAACCAATTAAGCCCCCTTCAAAAATTAAAGAAAAAATGAGAGGAAAGAAAGAGAGATAAATAATGTATGGGCGCATGTCCCTGAAACTAGAACAGTCTGTGCTAAGAGCAATGAAATTAATTTACTTGTCTGTAAGGAGCATGCTAATAATGAGTCACAACTGCATTCCATTTTTTTCAGCTGAAAAGTAAAATAGGAATACACAAAAACACACCTCAGAAGCTCCTATGCATCATTTATTCCTGCCAGTCGTACAATAAACAGGCACAGCTGCACAACGGAAAAACATTGCAGAAAGGATTCAGAGAAAAGAGCAAATATAAAGAAGCATAGTTGCCAAGGGACAGACTGAGGATGTGTGCAGGTGTGCACACAGGAATGAGAATTTCATTACATGGTTTTGTTTGCTTCACTGTAGGAAAGACAATGTAGAAGTCTGGTAACTAGAAAAAAATCGGAGGGAAAGTTTAATGATAGGAAAGATATTTTGTTCAGACAGCAAAAGTGAAAAAAAAAAACAAAGCAACTTTTTTCATGAGTAGCATATGTACTTAAAGACAAAAAAATTCTCCCTTCTCAGCTTGAGCATTGATAACACAAATGCAAAATTTCTCACTTGTAGAAAGGGGGGAAAAAAAGCCCCAAATAGCTCTTTATTAACAGAAATCTGTGACTTTTAGCAGCAACAGATTAAATCAGGGGTTCCTGGTTTCAAAATTTGCAACTGCTATCCCATTCCTTAGGAGTTAGAAGTCAAATCTCCTTGCTGGCCAACTGAGGGGAGGATAGGACTGGGGGAAGAAAGTGATTTGTGTTAATTACCATTATGATAATCAGCTGTCAAGTAGAAACACTGTTTTTAAATGATAACACCTGTAACATTTTTATTCTAATTACATTGTCAAGCAAGTCCTGCAAAGGCAGTCAGTAAACAAGAAAAGGGCTGCCATGAAATTTAATGTAGACCATACAGTCATAGAAAACAAGTTCACCTAGTCCATTAACCATTTTTTGTCTGATACAGGCAGATATGCATTTGTTGGAGATTCTGTGGTCTATCTACTTCATTCATTTCACTGTTTAATTATTCCTATCATTAGAAAGTATTTTCCAGTGTCTAACCAACTCTTCTTGCTAAACATTCACACTTTACGTCATGCCTACGACTTTTAAGTGTTAAGACAGCCCATTCCTCTTTGCAACTGCTTTGTATATAACAATGTTTTGAAGACATTTTCCACTTGCCATCAGTATACTCTCCACAGATTTCAAGAGACAGTGAAGCAGCCTTTCACTGCATCGTTTCTCTTTGTTTTCCTGACACCTTTAAATGCAGGATTCAAGAGGGAAGCACCACTGATTTGTAACACAACACAATACATTCAGTCTTCGTGCTGTGAAGATACGAGCAGAAATCAGCTGCACTCTTTAGTTGCTCTTCTCATTCACCTTTAGGCCAAGAACAAAGCCAGGCTATTTAATTAAATAATTTAGTTTAGGTTTTTGTTAGTTTGCTTCTAAAGGTAGACTTAGCACATAGTCTATCCTCATTTAAAACTATCGATTGTCCTATAAAAAAAATACACAAAAAGCAAACCTACACGAACCAAAAACAGAAGAACACCGTTTCACAACCTCAGATACTAGGTATAAATGCACAGTATCAGTAAACCAAACCCGAGAAGCAAATTTCCAAGATTCACATTACAGTCACAGAATTATAGAATGCCTGGTACTGGAAGGGATGTCAAATATCATCCTGTTCCAGCCCACTTGCCACAGGCAGGGTTACCAACCCCTAAATCAAGCACTACATCAGTCAACTAACAATAAATTCCAGTAGTGGCTAGATAATATTGAGTGGACAGCCATATAATCCTACTGGTTTTCTGCTTTGTCTCCATTCTTTTCAATCTTCGTCCACTTCCATCCTTTCATTATGTATGCTGCAGATGGAAATTAACCCTTCAGAGAAGTAAACCTATCTTTAAGCCAGTGCCATAATCCATATGGACTTACATACGTGCATCTGAATAACTATGACCTTTCTTATGCAGCTAACACATTTACTAAACCCACAGAGATGCAATTCACACAAAAAGACCCAGTTTAACCCAATGTGTTAACAAGCTTTAAGGTGCAATCCGCACAGGAGTTTCCACTGTACAAAGCCCCTGCCACTCACCATGAGCTGTACCCTGGAGATCACAAACTTCCAGTCGTGCCCACCGACTGAATGTAAATGAAGATTCACTGTTCACTCGACAGATGTAAAAGCCAGCATCATTCACTTTCACTGGATTCAGAACCAGTTCTGGAGAATTACCATGGGGAACCTGAGTGACACATGAATCAAGAAATATCTTAATTTAGATTAAGTTAATCTACACAAGGATCAAACACTGGATTATTTATTCAGTGTCCATAACCTCAGCTTCAACTCCTTCACTTAAAAATTTTGGATGAGAAAGTTTTGTTCCATGTATTCAGCAGCTTAGAGATGGATTTTCTTCCAGGAATGATTCATATGTCTCTACCTTAGCTGAGTTTTTAAGCTGGTTGAAAAACTCTTCCTGAAATTAGTCATTGTAGGAAGACAACCAGACAAGAAACATGGGTAAAAGCGCTGCCACCTGAACTCCACAGATACAGGCTCACATACATTCCAGCACTTAAGTCTGTAACAGCAATGAGTTCAGGCCTTAAATTGCTCAGTCTTATGAACGAGTTTTCATCTGTCTAAAACCAATGGTGACTGATATTTTTTGCATCCTGGTAGTTTCTGAGTAGCTTGTGTGAAACTTCATGGTAGGCTTAGAGAACTGAACTTACAGTTCCCAAGATCAGTACCCAAGGATAGAGTGCCTCGAACACACTGAGCCACCTTGCTGTTCTAGCACGTTGATACAGTCATCGTGGAGCAGTTATTCAACTTCTATTTTTACTAAAAGACGAAGCAAACTTTTCTTTATATAATTGAGAGCAATAGCCTTCAAAAAAAATTTTGGAGAGAAATGCCAATTCAGCACTAGCAGTATCACAGTTTAGTCTGTGGAATTGTTACTTAGTGATTTCTACCAACTAAAAAAATATATATATACACACACATACACACATATTCTCCATCAACTATTACCTCTTTCTTCTGTTTGAACCACTGGTAATGTACAAATGGGTGTCCTGTTGCCCAACAACACAGCTTGACAACCTGGCCACAGAGCACTGCTTGAGAGTCTGGCTGTACAACAATCTTGATGCCTTTAAAAGAGAATTTACATGGAGGAAAGTTATTAGGATACAACTCAGAATTTAAATTTAAATTGTCCTCTAAGCAAACGAAGTTTCTGTCATTAAACATGCTTGAAAACAATCCAGGTTCTCTATGTAAATATACAGTTTCATTTAGCCAGAGAACTTCAAGACATTCAAAACTGTATTTCATTACACAAATCCATGCTTGAACCACAGATTTGCAGGGGTTGGAAAGGACCTCTGGAGATCAGTCCAACCCCGCACTCCAAAGTGTTTTAATTTCAAGAAACCTAATTATCTCTTACTCCCTACACACTAAAGCAAACAGCACTTTCAGTGGCATCACGCATTCTTTCTTGGAAAAGTATTCCCACAACATACGTTTTCGAGCTTTGCTCACTCCAGATAATTTAAATTGTTAAGCTTAAGCTACAAGAGAAGGCACAGCCTGAGGGAGGTTCAATGCAGTAAGAGCTGGTTGAGCTGCAGCTCACTGCGTTTTTCAACTATTGCTCATGCAGCTTATTAGACAACATCAGTTTCCTCTATGGGTTTTGCTCCTGTAGATCACAGGGCGGGGGTTTTCTTTTTACCAATGTGCAAGGTAAAATTTTCCACTTCAGATTTTAACTGCCAGGAAATAGTGCGAGTGAAATTCTGATAACAGTCTGATAGGATCCAGTTGTTTTCTTAACCCAGACCAGTACAGAGATCTAATTACAGCACAACCCCCACGACAGATCTGCTGTTACAACCAAGGTCATAGGAAGAAGAAGGGGGAGGTGGGAGCAGAAAAAAGTCATCTGCAGAGTTTAAGCTCACGGTGCTGGCAAAGAATGCATGAGCTTCTGGGCATGGTGCTCAGCAGTGTTGAGATGTCAATGCTTCAGTCTGATGATTTTTTTTCCTTATTATGGATGGTGCATGCATGCAACAAAGACAGTGGGACTGTAGGTAATAACACGTGCTGGTGACGAGTCGCTGCAACACCGGTCATAGGGAAACACAGAAATAGCAAACGATACAAAACCACTTCAGTAGCTTCTCATTACTCTCTGAAATTAAGAATCACATACCAAATAGGTACTTATACTACATTTGATTTTCTTTAGAGGTTGGACTCCTTCCCTATTTTGGGGGAAAGCTGGTTCTTCATTATCATTTAATTAATGTGCTTTGCAGAAGCTGAAAGCATAGTCTGGTACAGCAACAGCATTCCACTTTACTGGGCGAATAATCTTATGTGAAGTGAACAGAAACTGCATGCAAAAATAGCTCCAAAGAGATCAGAAACATCCCAGCTCAGCACTGTAATTTGTTCCAAGCCTTCTTACTGTGCCACACCAGTTTTCTTTGCATTCCCCAGCTCTCCCATTTAACGGTTCAGCTGCACATCAGAATTTTGTCCAACAGAAAGTGCTTGAGGAAGAAATCGTATCAATTTGATCAACGGGTTAAAACTGCAGCAGAAACACAAAAGATCAACAGACTGAAACAGAGACTGTGGCACATGGAAATTGTGTGGTCTTTATCTAACAGGGAAGTGGGCTCTGTTAGTGTCTCCATACACAACCTGATTCTGAAACAGCTGTCAACCCTGGGAGCTACTCCAGCCTAGGCACAGGACTTGAAAATTCCTTGCCTATCTTTTAAAACAACTTCCACCTACAGCCTAGCTCTGGAGATTGATACTTCAGACTTCTCATTTAATACTTCCTCTGCTGTTTTTCTGAGTCTAAGGGAACATGTCAAGTAGCCTTGAGCATCACAATCACCAACATTAACAAGGCAAACAGGAAGTCTGAAATGTCAATTCAAGGGACAGAAGATTTGCCCTTTTATTCTTTATAATCTCTCCTGATTTTCATCATTGACATGTCTTTAAATATTTGAGAAAAGCAAATCATCTGGAAGATGGGCATCTTGTACTCCTTGGAGGTGTTACCACCAAGTTCTAAGAAAACTGACTCATAACTTCTGCACTGTTTCATTTATTTTCCTGCCATTCACATATTACATAGCTACTTCCTGCAAACACTAAAAAATGTAATGGCTTAAAAAGAAAACCTTCTGACTCAATTTTCTGAGTGATACATTGTCACTCATAGGAATAGGATGCTATGGCCTTCTCATTACAAAAAAAGAAGTTTAAAAGTTATTACAATTTTGCATGTTAAGAGGAAGAACATTGTCCAGAGTTAATACATTGCAGCAGATGAGTCTGTAAACTCAGAGAGATTAAGAATTTCTGGGTCTTGATTGTGAGAGTCTATGGCTCTTAGAGGTCCCTTCTGCAGCTGCAAAACAACCTCTCAGCTTGTAACAGTGTCTGTGCCAAAGAAACACTGAAGTGGAAGCACTGACGTATCAGTATTACAACACTATACTCAAAAGCTCATAAATGCCTGAGTCTTTAATTGCATAAATTAAGCTGCTAGAAAATGGTCTAAAAGCCAGTATGACAGCCATAAAGGTCTTTATTAAACAACCCCATCCTAAAGCAATGCTCAAGCTCTTTTTGGTTTACTAAAACAAGTGAGTAGTTCTGAACTTTAATTTCAAGTGTATCACACCCTAAATATTTAAGTAAACTCACTGCAACTGTTAAGGCCTACTACTTCTTTCTGAATAGTTCAAAAAGTCTTAGCATTAAACTCCCTTTAAATACCTTTTGCTTTGTTTTCTACTGGTTCCAACTTGTCTCTCCCTCTAAGCCATCCAACCCTCCTTAAAGCAGGCGTAGTTCATTCCATCATGCCTCAAGGAGATTAACTTACAACAAGACAGACTATCCCTGCCTTTCAGAGCAGTTTTGGCAAAAGTCATATTGGCTCGTTCTCCTCCACACAAGGTACCTTAGCTATCTATGCACTAACACCCAGAATATGACATGACAGACATCTGCAAACTCAACTGTGGAGAGATTACAGGTCAAGCAAGCAATGTTTTGGCTCAGTGCAGGCACAATTTAGTACAAACCTGAGTCAGTAATAGTCTTTGCTTTCATTCTCCTCCACCACCCACCATATACAAGACAGCATACTACCGCTGAACATCTCCACAGACAAACTCTTGCCTCAGAAGCACAATCCAGTCTCACTGATACGACACCAACTCCCCTCCTCCCTGACAAGCCATCACCGTCACTGTGAAGAAGTTCCTTTTCATATCAGCGTAGAACATCTCCTAGGGGAGATGCTCCAGGCCCTTTTACCTTCTTCATGGCCCTCTGCTGGACTCTTTCCAGAAGATCCCTGCCTTTTTTGTACTAAAGAGCCCAGAACTGGATGCAGTACTCCAGGTGAGGCCTGACCAGGGCAGAGTACAGGGGGAGGATCACCTCCCTTGACCTGCTGGCCTTTTAATACACTCCAGGATCCCATTAGCCCTCTTGGGCACCAGGGCACACTGCTGGCTCACGGTCAGCCTGTTGCCCACCAGGACCCCCAGATCCTTCCACACAGAACTCCTCTCCAACAGGTCATGTACAGATACTTGCAGTTATTCATTCTCAGGTGCAAGACTCTACACTTGCACATTCCTACTCCTCATTTTCAAGAGAAGCTTTTCTAACTTCCACATGACTGAATTTCACCATATCTTCAAAGAGGACATAAAAAAGGGGCACAGTCTAGAACCAAAGCAAGAAGAATTTGGTCTGCATTCCTACTGTGTATGCCCTTGCATTGCCCACATCTCTGAACTTTCAATGAAGAAGCAAGCTGAATGCATTGGACAGCAGACAATAATCTAGCTCTTTGCGACTTTGTTTTGCTGCCCAATTATGAAGCTGGAATAAATTCAAGGTGAACTAGAACTGGTGTTAATTGAACACTTCCCTTTCAATTAGTGTAAGCTATGAAATGCAGTTCACAAAAACTGTAGCCTGAACAAATGGCTGGCAAAGCTACTGGTCTTTCTAACCCAGCTACTTCTGTTCTATAAACATCTCCCAAAGGCAGAGCTGAATACAGAACACAAGTTAGCAGAGAGAATGACAGCACCTGTCATACTCATGCAGCCAAGTCCAAGCCTACAACAATACTGCATTAAGCCTGCTTATCTGCTTGACCTACTTTTAATCTCAGAATCATACAAACAAATACCAGTTACTAGAATTCAACTGCTAACAGTGCTTTTACTGTAGAAATGAATGCTTCAGTATTTCTAGTGCAGAAAGCATGGTTGCAGTGGAAATACCAGAACAAACCAGAGCTGACCTGAATAGCTGAGACACTGGAGAGCCTCTGTGTGTTCCATGGCCTGCAGGAACTCCACCAGCTCCACTACTGTGCAGCCTCTGTCACCCAGCAGCTTCAAGAGGCTCCAGCTTGGGCTTCCTTCTGGCTCCAGAACTTTGAGGGAACACTGCTCTAAATCCAGGGGACTGTAAAATAAAGACATAAGACATGGCATAGAACTTCTCAATGCTCTTTCTGAAAAATGGAGTTGAGTTAAAAAGATTAAAAAAAAAAAAAAAAAACAAGAAAATATAGAGAGAAGGGAATGTCTTAGCTGATTTGAATGCATTTAAAGTATTTCCTTCACGTTTCAGAACTCCAGGCATTACAAAGCAGCATTTCCACAGACAGAAATTAGTATTAATGACCCGCACGCTATAGAAACAAGGGCGCCTGAACCTAACAATTCTACTTGAGAACTGTATTGAGAAACCTAGTTCTCACATTTCAATGCCTGAATAGAAAAACAAATGTAGCACCTTTCATTTTCACCTGCCTGGTTCAGAAACAACAAGGATTGAGCCAGGAAAGCCCAGGAAGGCTGAGAACCCCAAAGCAACTGTTAGATCAGTGACTGCTGCAGCCTCCTAGCAGTTCCGTGCATTTCCAGGTTGCCCAAGGAGGCTGTGGATGCCCCATCCCTGCAGGCATTCAAGGCCAGGCTGGATGTGGCTCTGGGCAGCCTGGCCTGGTGCTGGTGACCCTGCACACAGCAGGGGGGTGGAACTGGATGAGCACTGTGCTCCTTTGCAACCCAGGCCATTCTGTGATCCTATGACTTATCCCCAGCAATAAACTTTCACACTTCTGGGCTTCAGTTTTAAGGCTTTACGCGCTTTCAATCACAACAGGTAACACAGAGAGGGTGTGGGGAGAGCTGTGGATCCATCAGTGTTTCATTTATTAACTCACAGTGCCACACAGAGCCGCAGGCAAGACGCTTGGGCTCATCCCAAGCCCATCACCGCACTTCGGAGGATAACCCAGGGGAAGAATTACAGCCGCGGCCCTACAAAGGAACCGCACTCGGGCTGCGAACGCTCCCTAGGCAAGACCTGGAGAAGGCACAGAAAGCAAAGCGAGCAGGAAGCGATGTACAGAAAGCGACCTAGGAAGGAAAAGCTGAAGAAGTCGACCGCGTTCAGCCTACCGCACACCGGAGCGGCGCACGGAAGGCCGCCCGGGGCAGCACTGCCCAGCCGGCCGCACGGCCGTCCGCCTCATCGCGGCCCTGGGCCGGCACCCGGCGCCGGAGCGCCCCGCCGCGAGGCCCGGCCTCACCTCGTCCCTCCGCTCCCCGCCTCCCCCTCACCTCAGCCGGACGCGGCCGCGGCTTCCCGCGCGCTGCGCCAGCTCCCGCCAGCCCTTGCCGGGCGCCGCGCGGTCCAGCAGCTCGCTCAGCCTCCGCAGCAGCGGTTCCGCCAGGCGGCTGAGGGGCAGCGAGCCCGGCGGGCTGCGCGGCGGCTCCGACATCGCCCCGCCGCCGCCCGCCGCCAGCCACGGCCCGCCTGGGGCGGCGCTCCCGCCCGGAAGGACGCTGCCGGCGCAGCCGCACGGGAGCGGGGGGCACGGCGAGCTGCGCGCCCGGCGGGCGGAGCGGGGCTGAGAGCGGTGCCGGGGCTGGGAAGCTTTCTGCAGAGAGAGCGGAGAGGCCCAGGGTGTCTCATCTCTGCAGGAGTTTACAGAACCACAGAATCACAGAACAGCCCGGGTTGGAAGGGAGCTCAAGGATCACGAAGCTCCAACCCCCTGCCACACACAAGGCCACCAACCTCCACATTTCATAGCAGCCCAGGCTGCCCAGGGCCCCATCCAACCTGGCCTTGAACACCTCCAGGGATGGACGGGGCATCACAGACTCTCTGGGCAGCTGTTCCAGCACCTCACCACTCTCATAGCAAAGAACTTCCCCTGACGTCCAGCCTCAATCTTCCCTCCCTCAACTTCAAACCATTTTGCCTTGTCCTGCTGTTATCTACCTTTTCCAGGAGTTGACAGCCGGGCTGGGTGTGCCCTGGGTTCGATATGTCGGTCAGCCGCACAGCTTGGAACTAGATGGTTTTTGAGGTCCCTTCCAACCCAAGCCATTCTTGTGGTTCCATCCAAATGTAACTGCCCCCATTCCTGCAGTATGCACACTCAGACGCAGTGCTGGAAGCAGCCCGTGAGCTTGCAGTGCCTGCTGCCCAGCCTAAGGCAGAGCACACTGCAGAGCAGGCAACAGCGACTGTCTGCCGTGGGCATCTGGGACCCAGCACCTCCAAGGATCAATGCATGCAGTTAGACACGGAGGAGCTGCACTGGGTGGTGTCCTGCAGAGTTGACCGAGTGTTTCTCCCAACTTAGATGCAAAAAAACACATGTATGTATGCTATGTGGATACAGATAGAACGGTGAATTTGGCTCCCGCACCCACCCTAGGCTGTACGCTGTCCTTGTTGCCCATCTCCACACAGTGGCAAGCAGTTCAGTTACCTCAGCTGGAAGGCGGTCCCAAATCCTGGTTGCTTATTTCTTTGGGGATTATTTTGACTGTTGAACCATGAAATAATGAAATAAATCACAGATATCCCTGCTGCTCTCTAGAGGGGAGCGGCTGTACGTGCTCTGGATTTTGCTGAATAGTTTTCTGGCCATCACCCCCAGTCGGGAGAGCACTGGGAGTGAGAATTGTTCAGCAATGCGTTTGGCAATCAGCATTTCAGCTGTTCTTTTTTCAAACAGTCAGGAAAGAACACAGCACTGAACTGGTTGTTCAGACTTTTCAGCACTCCTTGAGCTCAGAGCCCTGTGAGCAATTAATATGCATTCCTCCTGTACGAGTGCTGGCTTCTTGACATGGGATCACCTTTTTCACTTCACAGTTCATTTAGGTATGCACTGGATAATCACTGCCTTTGAGAAATGTGAATTGTTAGGTGATTTTTTGTGTGTGCATTAATTTTGAAAGTTCACTATTCACTTTGGCTCCCTCAGCCTATCCGTTGGGGTAATTGTTCAGATTTTCTCAGCATTTGGCAGAACATTTGCTTGCTCAACCTCAAGCAGGTCAGAAATTTCAGCCGTGCCTAGCAAAGAAGTTAAGTACCCTGAAGCATGTGCTTTAGAAGTGAGCCCAGAGCCTTATTATGAAAAACCTAAGGCCAATACTTCCTCTCTCCCAGGGCCATGAGGAAATGCTGGTCGCCCTCTGTGAAGCAGGATCTGCCCTCCTCGCTGCCAGCTCGCGCTCTGCCTCTGGCAGAGGTTTTCCCAGGAAGAGCCATCTGCTACGTGTAATGAAATAGTCTCTCCTAAAAGACAAACTGCAGTGATCAGACTCACTATGCTAAGGTCACGCTAGCAAAGCAACACTGAAGCTTTCGTGTAGCTTCTCAGCTTGGAACCAAAATGCTTGAACTAAATGTCTTTTATCTTGTAGCTCAGAGTCAAACTGCAGACCTGGTCCGCTGCTAAGGCACAAAGAGAGCACAGAAGGGTAAGTGCATGTTTCTGGTTTGGGAGGTCAAATTGCTTGTAGTTTTATAGTGACGTGGTTGCTTATTTCCCCTGTGTGCAAATAGAAAAATTATTGTAGAAAATAGAAAGCTGGTCGTAAAAGATGAACAAGCAAAGAGCAAGTTACTTTATTCCTAATGCTCTGCACAAATACAGTGATTTAGAATGAGTTGAGGTGGTCAGTTTGTTTTGCAGCACATACTTTTGATAATATGTTTGATAACATGTTGCATGTAAAATTCAGCTAAATGTTTTGGAAATCACACTCTGGTGATATTTCCATTAAGTTTCAGCAAGGGGAACAAAATTGCAAAAGCCTTTCATGAGGCACCTCCTTCTCTAAGGAATGTGTAAGTGGCGCTGAGTGTCCAGAAATAGGCATTTTATTCTTTCTGAATACATACTGCATGCCCCACTGCTTGCTACTCATGAATTTCCTCCATTCCTCAAAAAAAAAAAAAGAAAACAAGAATAAAAATCTGGTCTCTTGGTTGCATGCACAAATTGCTCATGCTGACAGTGTCAGATGCTTGACAAATGTTAAAAATAGATTAAGACAGATCAGTGCTAAGAGCTGTGCTGTGATTGCTTTTTTTAATTACTCTATATTAAGCTCTTCGTTAGGCGTACACTGAGAGGTTGCTTGTTCTTATGTTTTGCCAAGGAACTATAGCTGTGGTGCTTTCTTTATACTGCTGTTGACAATGGGTAGTGTGCTACTGTAAGAAGTTTTCAAAACATCTCTGATGTCAGAAGTTAAAGAAGCGTGCTACATCTCAGTGTATTTGCCAAGGGCACATTTTGCAGGTGCCTGGTTTCTGAACAGCCGAAACTTCGCTGATGTTTTTCTCATCCAGAGCTTGTTAATACAATAGATACGCAACAATTGGTTCAGATTGCGTGGTATTTTGCTAGTTTCATTTCTCACATTGTAGGCGTTTTGATAGGCATGCTGCTCTAAATATTTTATGTAATCACCGTGATTTGAAGTATTTTTAAAAGGATAATATGATTATAGTTGTTATTTGTATTTAGCGTTGAGCTAAATACAAATTTATTTAGCATTAGAGATTCCAGACAGAAGTGAGTCAGAATTTCAGTATTATGAGATACAGAAACACACAGAGAACGCAGTCATTGTAAATCCTTTTGTGCATGGTTCTCACTATTACACCATCGAATATTAGACTCAGCAGTGAGCAAACAGCTCTGCAAATGCTTGCCATCCTAATATGCCAAATTATAATTAAATTATAGAACTGTGGTTTTTGTCGCCTTGGAAGTTTTAACTTTTGAAATGTAACTTTGAAGAATGTGGTCATGACCACAGCGTTTTCAGAAAGGAACAACTTTTTTTTTGGAATGTGTTTTTATGGCTGTGTTGCAAAATCTCTTTGGAAAGCTTCTCTCATGTAGGGGAAAGGGAAAGTGGATCAGGAATTTCACATGGAATTTTGTTCCAACGGTCCTGATGGACACCCTGAAAAATGACTCAGAAACATGCTGACACAGGTGAAACTTAGAAGAAAACTTTTGGTGAAAGGTTTGATTTATACTCTATGAAAGGTTTTTAAAAAGAACTTGAGAGTAGGCACGTCAATAGTGAAAAACATGCATGGCCAACTTTCTGGAAAAGGAATTTTGGAAAAATTCAGCTTTCCAAAGGAAGTTTCATAAATAAAAATTTACTGTGTGAATTTCCCCATAGAAAATGTAATACCTCGTGAAAAAAAAAAAAAATCTAAATTGGAATGTAATGTCTGTTTCTATTGTAGATCTTTTCTTCAGCTGGAAAATTATGTCTTGTTTTCTTTTGTCTTGTGAGGAGAAAAATGCTAAATTTTGATAATTTACTATGGGGTGAAAAACGTCTGTGGAAGGTGGCCTGGATGGGGAGGAAAAAAGCAGAATTCCTAAATGCAAAAGATTTGTCAGTCTGGATGTGCATCCAGAGTGGATGGAATTTTGGATGTTAGAGGAATGTTATAGCTATATAAACTGCATGCAAACTCTCAGCAAGCAAGATAAGGTATTTAATAAAACTTTGCAGGGAGGATGTAGAATGAATTACCACAGAATCATAGAATCACCAAGGTTGGAAAAGACCTCCAAGGTCACCCAGTCCAACCATCCACCTACCACCAATATTTCCCACTAAACCATGTCCCTCTCTACAATGTCTGAATGTTCCTTGAGCACCTCCAGGGATGGTGCCACCTCCCTGGGCAGCCTGTTCTAGTGCCTGACCACCATTTCAAAGAAGAAATTTCTCCTAATGTCCAACCTGAATCTCTCCTGTCGCAACCTGAAGCCGTTCCCTCTCGTCCTATTTCTGGTTGCATGGGAGAAGAAGCCAACCTCCACCTCACCACAGCTTCCTTTCAGGTAGTTGTAGAGAGTGACGAGAGATGTAGATGTAGAGAGAGTGAGAGTGATGTTCTCCCTCGAACATCCTCTTCTCCAGATTAAACTATCCCAGTTTCCTCAGCTGTTCCCCATGAGACCTGGGCTCCAGACCCTTCAGAGCTTTATTCCCCTTCTCTGGATACAGTGCAGGGCCTCAATGTCTTGTAATGAGAGGCATTAACCTTGAAACATGTCTGCATTTGAGCAAAAGACTTGGATTTCAGAGATGTCTGGATGGCAGCATGGGTGCTGTTTGTGCAGTGCCATAGCATGGAAGGTTATTTGACAGACTAAGCGTGTGCTGTCTTTCTATCTCTGCACACCAAGAGTCGCAGTGATAAAACAGCAATCAACCCAAGAGTCATGGTCATAAAAGTGACAGCTTCATAAACTGTGACGTTTCATTTTATGTCGTTTTTGCTACTGCAATTTATTTGCTATATTACAAGCTATTGCAGTAACTGTTTGTGTTATTCCTTCATTTTTCACATATGCATTCTAAGAATCACTGTGACAGTGGTATGTGGCTTTTCATGCCTATTCTTTAAACAGTTCAATCTGATTTATTA